TAATAAAGAAATATAAAATGGGGTGATTTCAGTCACGACATATTGAAATAGCTAAGTTGTTTTTACATATTACCTTATTGTTTGTAACAATATTCATAATTATTGTATTGTTAAAAAAACATAATATTATATAAATTTAAATTTGAAATATTTAACTATGCATAGTCTTTCACTATTAAATTATTTTAAATTATTTAAGTGGTTCACAATATTATAAATATAAAATGGGGTAATATGTGGAATATCCAATTTTGAATTAAGTTGTTTTTAATTAAAGAATATAGGTAATTGAAAAAAAGTTGTACAATAAGTATGCATTTAAAATTACAATATGCTAGATGTGTACTTATAGGTTAGGCACCATATATTATGTATATTTAAAATTATGATTATTAACTTGCTACAATTAATTCAAAACTAACGTGAAATAGTTTTGAATGGTAATTGAAAAAAAAAAATCACCTATTAGAAGGTAAATCATAAAAACAAGACCTACAAGTTAAAGTAAAATTTTAAATTAATATTGTATTGAAAAAATATATTCAATAAAAAATTGTTAAATTGTGAAAATAACATTTTAAATATGGCTCTAATCAACCCATTTTATATAGAATTAGTTACATTTTTAAACTTTTGTCAGTTGTATCATAGGGGTGTGCTGAATATGCTTTAATTTAAATAAATAATAAGGTATATAAAACAATTTCTTAGGTAGCTAATTGTATGCGCCTCTGAAGAGATTTTACAAATGGGTAATGATCCTAGTCAATTTATCATAAACCATATGAAATTAATGTCAGCATATACCTGTATTATATTGTGTGATTAAAAAAAATTGTATCATTTACTATGTAATTTTTTATTAGTCGCTTACTATGTTTTAAAGCTATTAAGTATATTTATACATATTGAAATATCGTTTAAACCACAAAATAAATTTAAAAATTATTGTCTTCAAATTTTGTACTGGACAGTATTATAAGACATCAAACTCAATAATTTATTTTTATAAGATATTGGTGTTTATTTGTTTAGTATTTATATGTGTGTATACTGTATTGTAAACTTTAAAACTGTACCATACCTATTGATTTTTATTATACTATATTTTTTTGTAATTGATTTTTATTTGACAATTTAAAAAATAGGTATACATTTTCAAATACAACCAATATTTTGGTTATTATAACCAATTTAACTGAAAAAATAGGTAACAGTAAGTTAATTAAGGATCAAGGTATACCATCAGAAAGAAAAAAAAAATTTCGGTTTTCAAACGAATAGCCCCACCTAGAGATCCTATTCTTACATAAGCTTACAAGATGGTGCTCCGGCCCATAACTGCCGGCAGGTTCAGTACTATTTAAACAACATTTACGGAGGTAATTATCATTATCATCATATTTTGTTTGATTGCTACTTATAAAAATTTTAATATTATACATATAATATTTAAAGTTACACAATTTTCTTCTCATTTATATTCATATAGGTATTTATTTACATTAACCCAATATGTTATGGATACAATTTATACAAATAAGTATTACATTTAATTTAAATTGTATTTTTAAGATAACTGGATGGGTACCCGGAGTCCAGAAAATTCAATGGCCAGCACGTAGTCCAGACGTGACACCTTTGGATTTTTTTTTGGGGGGGGATTTGTGAAGAATGCTGTTTATGATATAATGCCATCCAGTAAAAATGAGCTGATAAAAAAAATTACAGAAGTCTGTTCAAATATACCAGCTGATATTATGAAAAAATGTACAACTGAAAATGTCTTAAAACGTATGACATTTTGTATGTCACAAAATGGTCAACATTTTGAACACATATTAAAAATAAATAATCCAAGAATTTTATGTAGTTGGATCTTCATACATTTTTTCTTTCAAATCCTTATTAATTAATGGTCTTGGACTCTTGGGATTCCGATTTGATTATTTAATTAATTAAATTCTTAAATAGTGCTGTAAAATTATAATACCAATTATAGTATTATTCTATTTCATTTTCTACTATTATCATACAATATCATACAACATTCATATCATTCACAATATCACAGAACATTGAACAATATTATTTAAGATAATTGATAGGACTATCTTAAATCGTGCAATTGTGCATTATCACCTAAATATGGGTATTTATTGTTTAATTTCTGCATAATATTATGATCATATTACCAGTCACGGATTTATCAAGGTATACCTTAGTCATTAGTGGTAATAAGATATAATTATGTGGTGATACCATTTTAATTTTTAAATAATTATCTGTGAAATTGTGATTAAAATAAATTTCTCATAATATATTTCCAGTTTTTATTTATCATTCATTGGTAATTCGGTATGTCCAATTAGTCGATAATTTAAGAAATGATTAGGGTTCAAAGTACAATTGTACAAAGTACAATTGTACATATGTAAGACGGAGACAACACATGCGGGTGTGGCGTCCTCTTAACAAGAGTTGCTTTAAATATGAAATAACTCCTGGATTAAATGATTTTTTTATTTGAATTTTTCAAGACAAAAATGTCTAACTTTGAAACTGAGGCTTTTGAGATGTCATTATAAAAATTGTTAAACATTTCTGTAAATTTTAAAGCATTTGTCAATGACCAACACTCTAATTTTGTTAGTTTTAGTAAAAATGTTTAGGACATATGTCTATGATACTTACAATTTTTTGAAAAAAATAAATGTTATTTCTCAGTTATTAGTTGGTTCCGATGTGACTATCAGGATGAATTTCATAAACCTTCATTATCCACTTACTATGTAGATTTTATTTTACATTACTGTTTAAATATTTCTAGGTGCAATATTGACAATAATGAATCAAGGGAGATGAAAAACATTGAAAAAACAATGTGTTACTGAACCTCAAGTTATTACTACCTACAACAATCACTTTTAAAGACTTACAATCTGAAATACGGAAGTTGTGTAGTGTTGCAATATTACAATAATGTATTATTTGTAGGTTATGATAAACAACATGTTGAAAGTGAAGCTTGACGGACTAATGATGTTAGCATTAATATAATAAGTAATAACACGACAATATGATTATGTATAAGTATAATATATAATAACGTACAACTGGACAATTAAACTGTGACTATACACACACACCGCGTACACTCGGTATGACAGCGTCTGTGCAAGTGAATATTACATACATCAAAGGCCCTATATATATGCACGACCGAGGTCATGTTACATCCGTAAAGAGAGTGAGTCTTATGCTCGTACATAACTAGTTACTATATTGTACACACGTTGTTCAGACCCGAGCACTAGAGCGCGCCCGATAATTAAAAAAAAAAGAACGTTTCGATTCCGGTCACGCATGCGCCGCTGTCACCGGTAGACCTCTGTCCCGATCGCTCTCTGTCGAACGTAGTCGTGTGTTATTGTCGATACTTGTCGCAGCCGTTACCGACCCGTCTCGTCAATATACAATGTTATAAAAGCCGTGTGTGCCGTTTTTTGACGATTTTCTATAATTGCATGTGTAGCCGTGCCTTTTGTTGTGCCGTCGCCACCGAGCGTGAGACCAGTAAGCCGTTTGTTTTTCATTTTAATATTGTGGTCTCGTCGCGCGTCGCCGACCTACGAGGACTGCCGGTTCTTAACGTACGTTTGGATAACGTCGTTGTGTTGTTGTGTCGCCGCCATTTGCGCCCGTTGCGCACATGTTCGTTTATTTGTGTTCGTCACCTTCCGCCGCCTTGTTGTCATGTCACAGGCGCGGAAAGTTGCACGTTGTTGAGAATCCATCGTGGCTCAGCTAAATTCGTTTTTTACCGGTTCGGTTCGTTCAAATAATTCAAAACCATCGTGCACACGATGTCGTATTGATTGGTCATTGTCGGTACGTCGCATAGTGCAAATACACCTGCCCGGACGGAAACAAGTGCTCCAGTCAACTTCAGCCAGGTCAGACGTATCATACCCTCTTTTTTTTTGTTATTATTCTGTTATCAAAGCTCGTACGCAGTCTGTTGTTTGTAGTATCAATTCCATGATTTTTATTTTAATTATTTGTAATTTTTATAGGACTAACATAGCATTAAGTTTATTCTCGTGTATGCTGATGAATTAATTCTATATGTACAATAAATTTATACAGTCCACTATTCAGGATATTTGATCGTTTCTTATTACTTTTTTATATATTTATATTATTAAGAATCAATCAGGTTTTTACCAGCTCGATAGTTGAGATACAACCGTGTTCATGTTGAATCGGCTATCCTGACTAAACATTTGGTCCTTCGGGCCGGATAATTAATGTAATCCTAATTAATTATTATTTTCTGTCTTATTGCTTGCTCATATATCCTTAAAATCGTGTAGTATGGGGAGTCCTAAGCGTCAAGAATTGGACATTGCCATGAATAAACGGTCAGTAGTTCGTGCACGTGCATCACGGGATGCATCATTACGGTCAATTAAAAAAATTAATTCTATGGGTGAAGAAGCAAAAATAAATGTCGAACGTCGCACATTATTTGAAGCTCATTACTTGTCATTGAAACGGTTTGTTGATCAATTTGAGTTAGAACAACAAGCAGTATTAAATGATCTTGTTGAATTAGATAATGTAGTCGAGTTTGAAACTGTTGATGCTGAAGTCACGGACTCCATGGAAGAGATATGTGCAAACATTCAACTTATTGCTACTGGCTTCCATAAGGCGGTTGTTAATGTGACTTCAAATGATAATGTTTCTACTGGTGTAAGACAAGCACATGCAGTTGTGCTTCCAAAAATTGATTTGCCAAAATTTGATGGCAATGTACTTGGTTGGGTATCGTATCGTGACATGTTTCAATCACTAGTTCATAACAACCCTGATATTTCTAATATTCAAAAGTATCATTTTTTAACTTTAAGCCTGTCCGGTCCAGCACTTACAGTAGTGAAAGCAATTCCTTTGACGGCTGATAATTATATCATAGCTTGGGACGCATTAAAACAATCATTTGAAAATAAACGACTATTAGCTTCTGCACATATTGATAAATTATTTTCATTTGTGCCATTGAAAAAGGAATCATTGTCGTCACTGTCTTCGTTTGTTCATACATTTACTGAAAATGTTTCTGCTATTAAAGCACTTGGTGTCGAGGATCTGGCTGGTTTTATTTTGTTTCATATTGGTGCTCGGGTAATTGATACAGAGACAAGGAGACTATTCGAAGCAAGTATCGCACAAGATTCAGTACCTAACTTGGATACATTGTTACAATTTGTCGCACATAGATGCAAAATTTTAGAAAATGTTGGAACCTCGGTTGGAATTAATGATAAACAAGATAGCATTTTTAAAGGTAGTGGTAAGAAGAACAAAAGTGGGTCCCTTGGCAAAACTTCACTGTCAATTTCATCTACATCTACAACATCAAAGTGTTTATTTTGTCAACATGAACATCAAATTTATCGCTGCTTTGGATTCAAACGCAAATCAGTCACGGTACGCTGCAAGTTTGTGAGTGATCATAGTTTATGTTTTATATGTTTAAAATCTGGGCATAGTGTTGCTTCTTGTACTGCCCCCAGTAGTATATATATACCAGTCCTGGCGCAGCACCTTTAAGGTGCACCTTTAATAATAATATATCAGTAAAAGATCACAAAGAAAACAATGTGCAAAAAGATCAGAAAATTGAAATGCAATAATAATTAAAAAAATTTTCGCAAAACTTATGAAATGCAATAATAAAAAATTTTTTCGCAAAACTTATGAAATACATTTTCACCCCCAAAATATTTTTCATAATACTTATGATATTAATAATTAAAATCGAAATGTAATATAGTGTATTAAAAAATATTTTTAAAGAAATTGAATACCTTAGTTAAAGGAATTGATATTTATAATAAAAGAATGGAATCTATAAACAATTATAATAAGTTACAAGAAATCGAAATGCAAAACGAAGTAGAAAGCTATATATTAAATAAAAAATTAAAAAATGTAATGTGAAATTTTGTGCTTTTGAACATTATGAAAATAATAAAAATATAATAAAATATAATCTTAATGAAATTCCAATTAAAGGAAATATTTTAATTGTTGAATGCGATATTTCTGTAAAAAGAAAACCTTATGCTTCTAAAATACTAGAATCGCCAACATGGCTTGAAATTTGTAAAATAGCTAATGATTTAATAATTACTTATAAAGGCACTTATAAATGCAATTGTCTCGGTGGTATTTTTGTTATTCAAGATTTAGGAAATATTAAAATATGTTGTCTTCACATGGAATAATAATAATATAATTAAATTTTTTAATAGAATTGTTCTATTAAAAAAATGTTCAATATTTAACGCGTGTCCCATTCGGACACACGTTATTAAAATCCAAAAATCTTTAAAAACGATTTTACACTATGATACTATGAGGGGGACTTATAAAGAATTAAAATCAAAAATGTTTAATATAAAAATGAAGATTATAACATAAATAGCAACGGAGTTATACTTAAATGAAAAATATGAAGCGGGGGGGTAAACTTTTAATATGTAGTGTAGATAAGCATATAAAACATATCTGTGTTGATCCGACTTGATAATATCAAATATTAAATGAAATATAGGACATAAACGATCGCGTTATTTTTTAATATTTTTAATAGAAATATGGAAAAAAATGCAAAAAATCTACAAAATCATTCCCAGCTTTGCAGATACCGTTAGGAAAAAAGGAGGCCGGAACTCTTTTACAGATATCTGCAAAGCTATCGTGGGCAGTGAAGTTACCCAAGCGCTTTATCCAGCAGGACAACGACAGTTTTTCAGTAGATTGCATAGGTGTGTGCACCTACCTATACAATCTACCGTAAACGTCTTCAAAGCCTGATGAAATTAGTAGGTGAACATGGGCGCCACACGTTCTCCCACTAGTTTCAATCCGACCAAGAACACATTTTAAATCAAACGCGTTACCGACTGAGCTACAACACTTGGGCATGTATAATGATAATTTAAACACTATTTAAATAATTCGATAAAAAAAACATCATAATATAAACTATACATATATATTATGATAAGGTATTCAATACCGGATGTTAAAAAAATAATCAGTCCAACGTTGATATATATACAATATTATTATTATTATTATTATTATTATTATTATACCACACTGTATAGGTATTATAATATTATATATAATACTTCGTAAGTATTATATTCGATTTAAATTTTCAAAGTTTAAAAAATAAAATTTTTTATAATAAATTATAGTAATGGAAAATAAAAATCAAATTAATGAATTATCTTTGTCAAAAACTATAAAAAAAACGATAGATGCTAATAATGTAAAAAACGAATTTGGTCCATATGAAGTCAAGCATAACATTTACAAACATGAGCAAAATAAAGTGGAATCGTTTCGCAAATCATGTGTAATATTCAATAAATTTAATAAAATATTACAAATAAAGTATAATAATCAAGAAAATACTTTTACATTGGAAGAAATGGAAGAAATAATACCGATACGAGCAATGTATTATTGCAGTCATGATTGGAATCAAGGTGCAATATCTGAATTTATTGATTTTCGAAAAAACTGGAAATTTCCTATTTTATATTCTCAAGTTCGTGGTGATTATATTCCAACTTGGGATCAATGGGAATGTTTTGGTATGATAAAGTCTGAAATTACAATATCCCAATTTATTAAAAATTTTAATGATGATTTTAAGGACACACTTGGTTTTTTTTTCTATAATTACATAGATAATAAAGATAAATTATGGTTATCAATTTGTATAATTTCGAGTTGTCATTTTATAAAATATACATATGGTCTAACTCCTCAAAACGATGATACAGATGAAGAATATGAATGTGTAAATATTAATTGTGAAATAAAAATTGCTAATAAAATAAAAATAATCGAAGATGTTAAAAAACAATGTTAACATAAAAAACAACGTCAACGTTTACCTATAGTTTGTATAGGTACTATAATATATAAATATATAATACTTCGTAAGTATTATATTCGATTTAAATTTTCAAAGTTTAAAAAATAATCATTCTAGATGCATATTATTATTATTATTATTATTATTCGAATCATATAATTCCTCTTGTATTAATTTACGTAGTTCGTTTATTGAAAGTTTAATTTCATTATAATTTTTGTTTTTAATACAACTTAAAATATTTTCGAAACAACAATTACTAATGAAACGGAAGTTAAATGATTTTAATTGATTATGTTTTTTGTAATAATCATATTTTAAAAGATTTTCAAAACAGCAATTACCCATTATATGATTCCATAACTTATTACTAATTTCACAGTCAATATCAATATCAATATCACTATCATTAAATATAGGTCTTAGGATTTTACGTTGTTGTTCAATCATATTTAAAAGTGTTTTGATATTTTCCATTTCTATTATTTATATTAGTAAATATATTTTTTTTTTAACATCGAATTATTAAAACAACGAGTTGTTAAAAAACAACGTTAACGTAAAAAAAACAACGACTCGTTAACAACTCGTTTACTCGTTAACGACTCGTTTACTCGTTGACTCGTTTACTCGTTTACTCGTTTACTCGTTTACTCGTTTACTCGTTTACTCGTTTACTCGTTTACTCGTTTACTCGTTGTTAAATATATATTAAACAAGTTGTTATTTTTAATAGAAATATTTCTATTAAAAAAATAAAATATTTAAATAAATTTTTTTTAATTTTCAATAAATTCTAAACATAAATGACCACATATAGGTGGATCATTATAGTATTGAAATTGGGAAACAGTACAAAAAAGATTATCTTTACCCAAATATTTTAAAAGTTCTTTTGGTGGCTCACCAACTATATGACCAAATGGATCAAAATATATTTTAAATGTATTGTTTATTTTTTTCCATGCAACCCAATGAGAACCATTTTGAGTAGAATCATTTAAATTAAATACTCCACATTCATTTTCCCATGGTGTTGTAGGTAATTCATTTAACATAAAACACCCTCTATAATTTTTTATTTTATTTCCAAAATAATTTATATCTATATTACTCAATGGATCAATTTTTACATTATTTTTTTAATCCAAAACCGTGTATAAATACCTTCAAATTTTTTAATATTATTTCTAAATGTTGTTATTTCAAATTTATTCATTTTTTCAATTTTTTTTTTTTTTTCAAGCCAGAACCTTGTGATCTAATTTTTTCCATCTCTTTATTATGTCGAATTGTTTCTTGTTCCATTTTTTTTTTGTGTTTAGCATCAGTTACTGCAGTATAAAGTGCACTAGCACCTGCAGCCAAAGCACTTACACCTTCAACCACAGCAATAGCTATTGGTAAAAATCCACCTTTTTTAATTTGAACATGTTTAAGTTCTAAACTTGATCCGGTATTATTTTTTTTAGCGTTTTTTAATTTTCTTATTTGTTCTGGCTCAAGAATAAATGTATGCTTTCCACTATCAATTTGATTATTTTCAATTAGAATTGATACATCTTTAATATTTTTATGAGCTTTTAATATTTTATTAAATTGTTTTTTATTTAAATTTAGATTCATTTTATAATACAAAATATTAAATTAAATTAAATTAAATTAAATTCATTCCAAATCGTCTTTTAACATTCATTACATTTGCTGTAAAAATGGCTGCAGTTTTTTCACCTATAGAACTATGAGGATCATAAAATCTTTCCATTGCTTTTTGTTCAAAAATTTTATCAGCAATATGTCTTGTTTTAGTATCTTTATTATCTTTATAAAAATAATCATGTTCTCTCGCAGCTTCATCTAATTTGTTTTTAGGTTTTTTATTTTTTTCTAACTTTGTTCCCGGTCCTAAATAATTATAGCCAGGCCAATGCATTTCAGGTAAATTTGAACAATTCAAAAGATAATTAACAATTCCTGAACCTGTAATAATTTTCTTTGGTAAACATGAAACATATGATGATAAATAATCTGCACCGTTAATAGGTATATCAATTAATTTTTCCATTTCTCTAATACAAATATTAAGAATATCAAGTTTTTCATCATGGTAAATATTATTTCCTATACTTTCTTCAATTGATATATACTGTATACGTTTAATTATTTTTTCTTTTGATATTTTCACTTCCTTTGGTAAACAAGTTACATATTTTAGTAAATATTCAATACCTTCAGGAGTATCAATAAGATTTTCCATAATTGATTTAAATAAATGAACAATACCAAGTTTTTCGTTTTTAAAATTATTATTTCCAGCTCTTTCTTCTGAAGAAATAAACTGTAAATTATCTATCACTTGGTTTACATTACTAATATAACGATATTCAATACGATTTTCTGTGTATTTCTTTAAACCCTCCCCTATTTGATTATCTTCAGCTAATATTTCATTATTTTCTTTTTTTTCAATAATTTCATTATCTTCATTATTTTCTTTCTTTTTATTATTTTTTTTCTTATCAGTTGTTTCTGTCATTTCTTTCCAAATCGAACTAATCATAACCTTATATTTTTCACTACGACTTGATTTAGCTCTTTTCGTTGAAGGATCATTGTTTTGATATATAGAATTAGTTTCAAATAATATATTTTT